TGGATGTGCACAGAGCATTTTTTTCTTTTTAAACTTTTCCTCAAATTCACAAAATTTGTCTTTTTTTTTAGTCTCCCTAACAGGTAATTTCCCGAGTCGCGGTTTAGAGAATGTGTTAATGGCAGGTTCTGAGGATCAGATCATCCATGGTTCATGAGAAGTGGTAACATTAGATAGTCAAAACATATCAACAGACTGACGGCAGCCTTCGTACATATTTTTTTTTTTTTTTTTAATTCTTTATTTTGGTTGTGCATAGAATATACAGGTATGCTTGCATTGCCACAACAGCTGGTGCAGGCTTTATAGTAGACATAGAGAAACATTCATATGGCTTACTAACATTGCACATTTTTATGAGTTAATATAGCATTATAGAAACTAGCTATGATGAATAATGTAAAATCACTGAGTTATGGAATATTTTAAAATCACACTTGGGGTATAGAATGAAAGAGGGTAGGGTCAAGTATGCACATCAAGTACTGTTCACGATATTTTGATTTTAAGAGTTTACATCCTGTACATAGCGTCTAATAGCTCGAGATCGTTTCCGCTTGCAATTATTACATGTTGTACAACATTCAATACTGTTCTCGGCATCTTTATACATCAGTTTAATACTGTTTACTACTGTTCTCGGCATCTTTATAGAAAAAAAAACAGAAAATAACAAAGACATATAGTAGTTAGCTTTCTAATGTGACGTGTTTTGTTCCTACCAATATGTGACAGGACTCCTTCATAGGAATTTAATACCCACTAGTACATTAAGAGAAACATTTTTCTTTTGATAGTGGGACAATAACTGGACAACAACCTAAAAACTGATGAAACAAACCTTTGCTAAATAACCGAGTCTCTGAGTGTCCTACAAGCCTTGAGTTTGCATGGCTATTGTGTCCAGTGCTTCCTCAGATGTTCTTTCAGTTGAGGAATGGTCGAGTGCGGCTGCTTGCACACGTGGCATTGCAGAGGAGATTTCAGGAGCTCGGGCCACCCGGCCTTCACGGTCACTCTGCCATTCTGCTTTACCATCTCATCACATCTGGTGATTATCGTGGGTTAACCTTTTGCTTGTTCAGGTCTGTAGGGTATTGTGTGGGTGCTGTTTGCTCCTCTTCCTCTCCGCCCTGGTGTTGCTCTCTCGGTTCTCAGACCTCCCAATTCTCGGTCTCGCCCACCCCGTCCGTGGGTGCTTGCAGCTGCAGCTGGAGGGCCTGGAGGAATCCTGCCGGGTTTTCATCCGCAGACAGTGTGAGGATTGAGTCCTTTTGTGGGACCACTAGTGTGCCTGCTGCTCCCCACCGGTATCTGATACCCTTGTCTCTCAGTTGGCGGGTGATTGCCATAAATTTTCTCCGCTCCATCAGGGTTGTGAATGGGATATCAGCGAAAACTTGCACGTGGTGGTTGTCCACGGCTACGGTGGGGTCTTCCTGGAGGAGGCCATCAGTGCCGCTTTAACCGTGACGTCTTGGGTAACGGCTATGATGTCTCTCGGTGCGTCCGCTGGGGCGGTCGGAGCTTTCCGAATTCGGAACGCTGTTGTAATCGGCCATGTGTCTCCCTCCTTTTTTGCACCCATCACCATGGCCACTTTGTTTGCGTAGGCCAATAAGGTTTCTGGGTTAATGTCCTCCGGGGCTCCGCGTATGCGGACATTTCTTCTGCGGTGGCGCGTCTCCATCTACGTGACTGTGCGAGTGAGTCTTTGGAGTTGGAGTGTCAGTGCATCCGTTTGCTTTCTGGAGTCAGTCAGTAAGGCGTCTCTTTGGCCTTCTCGGGTTTCCACTGCCTCCAGGCGCCCCTTCATGTCTGCCACTTCCGTCCTCACACCGGCCAGGTCCGACCTCCACATTTCCCGGAGGTCTAGGAGGAGCTTTTTTATGTCGCCCTTTGTGGAAGGCGAGTCATCAGAGTCAGATGTCTCCGACCTGTATAATGTGGCGGCCGGGGTCGCGTTCTGGGAGTTCTCCTCCTCCATAGACGAGTCGGACTCGCTGGCGTTTCGGGGCCTACTCGGCGCCATCTTGGCCTGTGGAGCCTGCTGTGGCTTCTCAAAGGATCGCCTAATGTCAGGTTGGTGTGAGCTTTCTAGGCGGGCGATTTTCTTGTTTTTCTTCCCCATCTCTCTGTAGGGGGGTCTAATACTTGCTGTTGCTCGGTTTTTGGAGTCTCAGTTTGGTATATTCGTGGCTTTTGGATCAATTTTAGATTAGTGAAGCAGGAGCTCCACATAAACACGTCTTGTGTGCTCTTCGTACATATTTTTATACGTCATAATATATCAGATTTTATTGACTGTAAGGGACACAAACATTTACAAAGCAAGTATGTTTTTGTCTGAAACAGGGACACATTATCTAAAGTATATCACAATATATACATTGTGTGTCATTTCAAGCGTCTCACTTGTACTTTTTTTTGTTTGTTTTTTATCTGTTCACAGAAATGACTAGGGATGCACAATGTGGGGTATTTCCACTGACATGTATCAGCTGAATAGGTTTTATAACTAAACCAAGAATTGTGAAGAATTCAGCTATTTTTCCAGTCGAGCAATTTTAGACGACAATTTGCAATTCCCTTGTGAATTCAAGGCTTAGTGAATAAACTTTAGAAAGTTTAGGCCATTTCCCACCTTCACATGGGAAAACCACCAGCGGATCTCCAACTCAATAAAGGACTTCCACCACGATGACAGATTTCTGCTTATTAACCAGTTTCTTGTAGCAGAAATCGAACATATCCTGTTCTTACAGCACTGAGCAGTTTAAACACTAACGTGATCCCATCTTCTCGAATCCAGACATTCATTACACATTTACCAAACTAATTATCCTGAGAGGGTTTGATTTGGAAATTAATGTTCTGTCTACAACGAGAGGGCCACATTGCACTCAGATCAAAGGCAAGATGTTTTGATGGGGCTTGTTCTACATCAGTATATGCGAGCACCATTTACAAAATTATTCAATAAGTCTCAAAAGCAGTTACCGGTCTGTGCATTGTCACTGCAGTCTGTCAGCTGTTGTAGAATGGATCCTGACAAAATTAATTCTAAAGGCAAGTGTCTCACAGCAGCTCAGGGAGGTTCCACTGTCTAAGTAGCATAGAGCCCTTAATTTTACCCAGCACCTCATGTACTAGAATTAGACTGCAAATGTAAAGGAATAATCTAAGCACCATAAACACTACAGCTTGCTGCGCTGGTCACAGTGCTAGGATTGCCGTGGCACTGTCTGAAAACAAACTAAACCCTACCGTGCAGTGTTATAAACTGCCGCTCTCCGGCGTTAGTAGCGGAGGCGGGAGCGGTGTAGAAGAAATCAAACTGTTCAAAAATGCTTTGAGTACATACAATGCGGGGGAAGAGGCACCATAACTACCACAACAAGCTAAAGTGGCAGAAGTTCACTATGCTTGGCTAATTAGCTGGTATTATATCATATGCATAAAACCACCAAAATACCAAGCAAAAGGCACATCAATTTTTTTGTGATATCGGAAAAAAACATTTTTTTTTTTTTACCAAATGTGTTTTTCCTTTCGATGTACAACTAGTTGTTGCCCCTTGTATCTTTATATATTGCACAATTATATTTTCTATTTTCCTTTACATTGTGTACATTTCTTGGAAGGAAAAGTAGCCACACTTTTATGAGGGTATGAAAAATGTAAAACACAAAATGAAAATACTATATTTATTTTTTAGCAATCCGTATTCAGCATCTGAGCTTTGATATATACAGGTATATATTTTGCTGGTAAATAGAATGAGATATTTATACAGCAAAAGGGGTTATCACTGCCACCCTGGGGTCATCAAACTGCTGATAAACTTGCAGATCCACAGTTACAAGTTAACCACACAGTTACAGCCGGGGTCACCTAGACTGGAATGACACTCAGCACGTGCCGGGATCTGAGCCCAGCAGGGAAACAAGTCTCTAAGGTACAGATAAACTTCGGCATTGCCCTATTTCCTGGCTTGCACACACCAGAGTTAGCTACACAAACCATTATAGTGCTAAGCTGGTCAATGCGTACACAGGCCCCCCTGCTCACACAAAACAGGGTACAACACATACAGCATGAAGAAAATGGAAACGGTGTGACTGGCATGTGATATATGGAATCCCCTTCATGTCTGGGAGCCACAAGCCTTTTTTCTGGCCCACTTCCAAAACAGGTATGCAATACTATTTCTTCATCCCCTCTGCTAACATATCAGTAAACTGGAGAGAGGTTAAATTAAGTATGTAGGCTTTATTGCTAGCGCATCAGCATGTGCGAATAGTCCATTATTATGATCCAACACTAAAGTGTGAGACCGCTGCAGTCACTCATGGGAGAGGGTTAATCAAAGCATACCGTGCACGTGCTGCAGTTGCTGCCAGGATAGCAGGAGAACCTTCTGTATTAGGGTTCTCCTTCTGTAGCTTGTCAATCAATCTAATATATTTCAAATCGATACTGTATGCTGATTGACTACTTGGAGTATCAAAATACAGCTAGTATTTAATTTATGACCACAGACTAGAAAATACATACATTACAATAAACAAATGGCTGCTCTCACTAGAAAATGCAGACTTTTGGGACCAAAACTTTTGCTCTGTTTGGTACATAATAAGTTGGTTTATTCTGTATTTTGTGGCTTTTTTTTGCAGTTTGAGGGGGAAGTATTAGGAGAAGGAAGCCAAATAATTTTTGGGGGATTCCAGTGGTAGGAGAGTGGGATACACAGTCTATTTAAATGACTATTGGATATGCAGCATTTAAAGTTGTTTAAGTCCGAAGTTTAAGATTTTGGAGGGAAATGGTTAAGAAGGTGACAAGTGTAACAAGGCATGGGGGAAGGGGCTTCAGCCATGCAGGTTGAAATTTGAGTTTAAGCTGACTTTGGTTGTTTGACTCTTTCATTGTGTTTTTCAGTTGAGCGATTTTTAAGGCTAATGGTTCGAGAAGCAAAGAACAAGTGGAAACGGAGCAGCCTGAGCCCTTTAATGATTGCCATCATTCAGTGGAAGAGAGCGGAGGACATTAGCTGGACCCATGCTGGGGACAGAGCCACAGAACCACACACAGGTTTACACACTGAATGAGGCAGTTCTTTTCGCACAGTTAGGTGTTTTCAAGGAAGATCGACTCTAGATACAGCTGACTAATTTCAGCTAATTGCAAGCTGTATGGGTCAGAGCATGGAGACCCAGCTTCTGCATAGTCACCACAACATCCAAGGCTCCCCCACCATGCAGGACTCCCCCACCCCACTCTGACTTATCCAGGGCCTAAGACAATAGGCCCACAATGGCAGGACCAGGAGACTCCATTGGTTGGAGACAATACCTTTTGTTTAATGACATTCCTGCACACTGTCTGTCCCTGGCAGTCACCTCACTTGAAGACCAGAAGAAAAGGGAGGATTTCGTATTATCTAATAAAGTCTTATGACTCCTTAAACTCAAGGACCAATCAATCATTCCTCTTAAGGCTAATACAAAGACTGGGTTTTCAAGACAATAGGTGTTGGTCTGGGGTAATAATTAATCCTCAACACTTTGCAAATGTAAAGTACAGGATGCGCTTAATACACAAGGGATTAAGAATTTCACTACTTAAAGGGTCCATAAAACCTCAAAGAACTCACATCCCCTACTTTGCAAAAAAAACAACAAAACAAATAAAAAAAAACCCTAAGCATATTGAAGACTCTAGGATTAAAATCACGGTTCTTGATCACACAATGTACAGAAGAGAATAAATGAAAGGCCCTGCCTGCCATAAACTGGAGTCTTCTTGGAGACATACAAGTTACAAATAAGTGACATTACGTTTACATTTACAATTACAAACAAGGAAATTTGTTTTTCTTAACATAAAAAGACTTTGTCTAATTGTAGGGTTGGATTCAACATAATAGGATACAACTTAGATGTTTTTCTCTAAAACCAATTATAAGGTATAATGTAAATAAATAAAAAAACAATAACAGTAGGGGTTGAGGTTAGACTTCATTGATATACATAAACGTTGCTTATTCTAGGTTCATAGCCTTCCATTCAAAAAAGAAAGATTAGGCAATTAAGTTTATAGGTCATTAAGTATGGTATTCGTCACAATAAATGTATCGGGTAATCTATCATTTCTACAGGCTACACTCTAATTTGGAACAAGCAGTTTAACACTTTACTTGATAGAAGATCCAAATAACACAAAAGGGGTTTATTCGCTAAATGGTGAATTGTAGTGAAACTAAAAACACATCCCAAAATTCAGGCTAAAACAGATAAACATTATTTTGCGAAGATTAAAAATGTTCCCAAATCAATCAATTACCACTAAATTTTGCAATTTGTTTTTCAATTCACAAAAGTTCACTATTTTCTGAATATATATATAGTTGGGAACCCTAATGCAGGGTTCATAACTATCCTGCTTTTCATGGGACAGTCCCAATTAGTGCAGGCACTCTATTACAATTAGTTCCCTGGTATCCTACATCATAAGACAACAAGAAATTGGCCCAAGGCAAACATGGCACAAGTATATCGTTAGACTAATTAGCGCTGTACCGTGGCCAATAGGGCCATGCAGAGAGAGCTCCACAAGAGCTCACTGCACAGTCCTCTAGTTTGGGGGAAGCTGAGAGGCTGTCTGTCAGCCTGGTGTGCTTGATGACCTTGTCAACGTGCTTGCACGACATCTTCCCAGATGAGCCCACCCTTTATGGATGTCACCCGTGATGCAAGTTGCATCACGGGTGATGCCCCCTTGAAAGCCCGCCCACTCGTCCCGATTTCATACCTCCAGTGTTTGGAATTATGCTAATGTGTTAATGCTAAAAGGACACTCTATGCGCCATAACTTCTACAGATTTCTGTTATGGTTTAGGCTGCTAATCTGGACAGATTTGAGCAAATAATGCAGAAGTTAAACTGTCTCTATAGTATTTAAAGTGCATAGAATGTCCCCCCTATAGGCTTTGGGAGGCCTTAGGCGAACCTCAAACATGAGGGCCCCACTAACACTATTAGTGGAAAAATAAATAGGGGTTGCCTTGTGTGTGTATAAGGAGATGTAACTATATTGAATGGCGCGCTTTCAGCAATGTATTCATCTTCAGAGGCATGCATTGTCGTGGCTTCCTATGCTTCTGCGTTGTGAGCTCTCTCACTGTAGTTATGAGATAATTTGCAATAAACAAATATAATTTGCAATTATGCTTATTGTTTATACAGGAATGAGGGGTATGGTTGTATAGCCTGACAGTCGTGAATACAGTGGGAAGGGGTTATTAGAAACAAAAATAAAAATTTTGGTTGGGCTTTTAAAAAATCAGTTACCAAATAAATAAAGTTACAGATAAGAAAACAATGTCAGACATTTCCCCCACCTATTGTATAATCCTTTACATGTATATTATCATTTTATATCTATCCCCAATACCACATGTATGCTAAACGATTTATCAAACTCAAAGTGTCAACTAGAGTTGGAGTGGGGAGAAGGACCATCGACAGACTGTCCTATAATATAGGAAAGGGATCAACAAGAGGATGGGGAGGGTGACTGGATACGACACTACCTGCGAACATTATGCTGGAGGTGAAAAGCAGGCACAAGGTTTGTCAATGTAATTGTTAGACTTATTAAGTTTATGATGATCAACTCATGGACCTGTGCGGCCTATCTTCACGGATCCTGATCAGGTCCTGCATGACCAAACTGCTCATCACACCAGAGGCCTGAGAGTCTCATTTTTTTCTTTTCTTTTATTTGTTGAAAGCCAATAAAATATTATACACAAAAAACAACCCTTAAAGTGTCTCCTAAAAAACACTGAATAACACTGAGCTGTGAAACAACTTGTAGAAATTACACCACAACAACCAAGCTATAAATGCCGCGTTCCCACCCAACTTGATCATTGTGTTCAACAATTTGTTATTTGAGGGCTCACCGCAACTCACAAGTGGATAGTGAAATAAGTGAGGTAGGTAGGCAGTTCATTAGAATTTTTGCGAAAAGGGAGATCAATTGCTTGATAAATCATCCACCGTAAAAGGACATGGTGAATTGGTATCTTCCCACGGGAAACCTTGAACCAGAGAGTCCTGGCTGAAAGCGATTGGTATTTCTGTGTGTAATGTCAGCCCCTATGTTACCAAACCAGCAAGAGAATCTCCGATTTCACTCTTCCTGTCGATCTGTGGTTCGGCAAATGTAAACCTGGCTTTTGTGTTTGTTATGTGTTTCCCATTTACACCTCACATACATTCATGCACAACAGCCTTGATGATGCTGGTTTTAAAAGCCCCATTACTATGTTCTGTGCGCTGCCCCTTGTTTTAGAAAAGTGACAAAGAGTAATCGTT